CTGAAGTCTGGAGTGAGGTCGGAAGTCTGGAGTGAAGTCCGTCCGAAGTCCGTCCGAAGTCCGTCAGAGCGAGTCAGTCATCGAGTCAAAGGCAGTCCGAAACAGAGTCGCGTTCAGACAATTACTACTAAACCTGATTGTTCGTACTAACACTTTCTACCTCTCTGTATATATTCCTGTTTGTAATATATCTGTGTTATTCCATATCCGTATTCGAGTTCTTCTTTATTGGTTCTACCTTGGACTATCAACGTGGTACAAGGAACCGGACCATAACAGTTTACACGCCATACAATGTAGACGTGTTTTTTTTTCGTGTCTCAGAAATTGCTCCCCGTTTAAGTGGGATAGCGATCCAACTGGCTAGTTAGATGTACACGTCGACGTAGCTAATAAAATAATTGCTAAGTTTTCAAAATAACCTTTTGTTGATGTCTTTCATCTCCGGACTCCAGAAACATTTCGACAACTGGCCGGGAGAAGACAAGAGAGGGAGAAAATATACAACACTGGATTAATTGAGACCGTCGCCCTAGAGAACCCTAGAAAAAGGAGAAGTATACAAGATTGAAATATTGTAACATATTCCTGAAGCAAACTATCTTTTGCCCATTTAAATCCACGGTCTCACTGCTTTTTCCAGTATTCAGCTGCTTTTGTCATGTTTCTCCTTTCTATTTTGTTTTAGATTTTATTTATTTTGTTATTAAAACTAGTCTAAAGTTTGTGTTTATTAATCTTTTAGTTTTACCCTTTTGACTTTCAATAAGCCTGCTGATGGACAGGGCCTTCTGTGCAAAGTTTTAACGGCCGTAAGACGTTTATCTAGCTGCCTGAGATACGCAGGTGTGGAAGACGGACACGTACTGGGAACCAGAACAATACTTTTTAACTAATTAAATTTTATATTATTTTTTAAATGGCTCTCCATACGTCCAAGATTTATTTTGATTGTATCAAAATGCATCAGTAAGTAAAGAGACCGCGAAATAGGAAAGTCACGAATATCCTGAATTGCGATATGAGAAACAAAAAATATATATTATATAGGAAAGCTGTGACAAAGGTGTAAGTTCTTACTAAGGGGTCCAAATTCAAACAAATTTCCCGTTTTTTATTCTATGTCCTTTCAGGTCTTTGTCAAACATGGAACTGCACAACTTCCTTTTCTTTTGCCGCTTTTACCAATATTTGTCGTATTTCGATCTCTCCAAATCCCCGTTCTGCCTAGCATTTACACAAGCTCGTTAGTTAGGTTATTCGCTGCTTTACTTTGTCGCTCTTGTCTTCATGAAGCCCGGTGAGAGTCAAATTCTCCAAATGCTCTTTCCTCATTATGTACCCTACAAATTTTAATTGTCACTTTTTGATTCTAAGTATAAGTGTCCTTTTTGTTTGCATTTTCTCTAAAACTTTGTCGTTTCTCTCGTGTTCAGAATAACATTTCTATTGCATCAAGTCTCTTCGTCATCTGTGAGGAGATTGTCGAGCATTCATTGCCATATAGGAAAATTAATATTACATAACAGTTCGGTATTCTTTTCTTTATTTTTAATGGAATTTTCCTGTTACTTAGCTTTTGCACGTCGTATTTCGCTATTCCAATGCGCCTTCGAAATTCGGTGTAACGTTTTTTTCTGTCTTCTGTTAAACGCTTCCTAGATATTTAAATGTTTGTACTTGCTTAATTTTGGGGTCTCCAATTCGCATCTTGGGCTGTTCTTTTTGATGACAACCATTAGGAAACTGTAAAAGAACTAAATTCTTTTTTCCAGATGAACCGTGACCATTCCGATTATGACCGCAACACCTAAGGAATGGTTGGTAATACATAGCAGGGGTTTCTCCTCATTCAAAATCAAATCGGAAACTTGGTGTCAGTTAGCATTGTAAGTTTTGTTCAAGAAGGAAATCACTTTTTATTACGTTTGGCAGCTGAAAATTATTAGCAGCTTCATCACCCATCTCCCCATCTCTCTTTCTCTCCCTCCCCCTCTCTCTCTCTCTCTCTCTCTCACACACACACACACACACACAAACTCTTTCCCTCTCTCTCTCTCTCTCTTTCTCTATCTCTTATCTTTTTCTTCTCATTCTTTGCCTACCCCAGGGGAAAAAGGAGTAGCCAACACATCTGCTTACCTGAATAAAGCAGCCACTTAATTGTTTTCTTCCAACATCTGTCGCTTATGAGTCCAGGTAAAGAATTAAACAAAAAATTCAGGTCGAGTAAACAGGCCTTTAAAACCTCGATACCGTTGAGTACTTGCATATGCTTCTAAAACTTAAATCTTAATACGGTATCAAAAATATTTTCGTTTTCTAACACCTCGAAATCTCCCGTAAGTAACGTTCTAGTACCTCTTGGCACGTGGCCGACCCGGGTTCGAATTTCATCATGGTCGATTTGTCACGGAGGTCACCTCTTGGGGCGGCACCACTGGGAGGTGATGGAAAAACCATACTCAACAATTGTGAATGAAATTAAGTAGACCATACTGTTCGGAAGACATCGAAATTGCAAGTCATCGTGGCTGAGGGTTTGAGTGCGCTAAACTTGATCAAACTCGTGATCAGACTAAATTATGCGCTCTTTCCCAGAATATTTAATTAAAGCCCCTCAGCATAGTTACAGTATAAACCACAGTTTCACTCAACAGGTGTTGGTAAACACAAATATGCCTGAGCAGGCGTCTGCGATGGGGATTAACTGGCTAGCCATACTAATATGTTGAGTCATAATTAATGTTCGTTTTGTGGAAATAATTGTAATTACGAATGTTTAACTAAAGGAAATCTCTTTTTATTACGTTATGTCACCATAATTACTGATTATACGTGATACTGAATAAATATGGAATATGCTAATAGATTTTAGTTTTTGCACGGCTGTGGCAGCATAGACAGTGGATTGGTCAATAATTTTTTTAACCCCATTAATGGAAGAAATGAACGTGCATTTAAGTCATAATGTTATGAGAGTTCAAGCAAAGAAATAACGCTATGGCAACATCTAGAAAAAATATGTAGTATTTATGGTCAATGGGTCATAACGGAAATCGAGTTACCATGTTTCGTTCTGTCGAAATGTCGTTGGAAGATAAACCTAAACTTGAACGTTCGTCGGACTTTGTCGATGATGTCATTAGAAGAAAGTATTCAAGAATTGACGAAAATGTTAAACACATCATGATTTACCATAAGCCGACATTTAGAAATGATAGGGAAAGCTTAATTGTTGGTATCCTACCGGTTCGCGCGAACCAATTCTTAAAATTATAAAAGCTTAGCGAACCAGTTGTTGGATTATCCGAAAATAATCTTATATATTAATAGCCGATATATAATAGCTAAAAATATAATTAATACTATTGCAGTAAGTTCTGTGAATGCTGAAATAGATTTTCTGTGATTAACATAATTTATTCTGACAAAAGAAATCGTCTTGAAGTTAAAAATGTGACAAATCTTTTAGTCATAAATGTTATAGGCTTTCCATTGAATCTTTGATACTATAAAGTGATTTGTTTCCATTCTTAGATTATAAAGAAAATAAGCAGAATAGATTCCTAAAGATTACCTGGCTTTATAGAACCGGTTCCTGGAAATTTGAGATGCCATTATTGGAAAGTTTACAAACTGGTTGTTTGAAGTCGGCAAAAAGCGAAAAGAACAAAGTATTTTTTTTTTTATAAACAGAAACAGAAATTATTTATAATTCAAAATAATATAAAACTGTTTGACGTACATATGTGTGTGTGTGTGTGTGTGTGTGTGAGAGAGATTGAGCAAGTGAAAGAGAGAATATGTAGCAATTTTCCAAGCGTAGCTTAGATGTGGCACAAGGCCCAAAGTATGGGGCACCCAGTGAGGATCGAACTCACTACTCATTCGTAATTGTTCTAGCAAGACAAGCTTGCTAACCATTACACCGCCTCGGGGTGGGGGTGCCCAAATATGCATGTGGTGGTGTTGAAATGTTATTGGCCCAAACAAAATCCCCCCATCACATAAAAAATTTTGATGTGAAAATTTTGTTTTGAAATTATTTATGATTCAACCTAATAGTAGTTATTCTGAGTTTTCAACTGTTGCTTGTTGATTTCACTTCTAGCTTGCATTTGAAAGTAATATAATCGACATCTGATGGCCATCCCCTTGTGTACTTTATTTCAAGAGACAAGAGCCCCTGCGCGCGCTTTAAAATGCTTAGACCAGCTTTGGGCTGAATGGTCAGATAACGTTTCGTTTCCTTCCGCTTCCTGATTCTGCGGACAGCTTCAGCAACCTTAACGGCCAGCTTAAAATGCCATACTCTCGCTTAAAAACTAATAAGAAAACGTGACTAAATCTCTCATACATAAAATTATTGTTTATTAATCTCCAATACTCGTCAATCAATATCGGTTAGTGGGTACGTGGCTTTGGGGTTTTCTTTGAACATGGATCTCTTTCTCGCAAGAATGTGAGAGACTCTCATTACCTTTTCCCTTGTACGCTTATATATATTATTCTTGTATCACATTTGCACGTCCTAAGCGAATCTGGGTGATTCATTAGGATTCTGTGAGGCGCGAATCCGCATACGGTGTTTAGGAAATCACCTATCAGGTCAACCTGTTGATGCACCTCACTCCTTTGATGCTCTTGTGTGACACACTAAAATCTACTTTGTGGTCATTTTGGTTGAGCCCAGTACACATTGGGGTCACCACAGATCAACTTCTCTTAGAACAAAGGCTCTTTAGTGATATTTAATTCGATTCTCACCGTCTGGTATTTCTTGGCGCGAATCCCATATTAAAAAAATAATGCGTCAACATTGCCAGACTTTCAAATCTTGTTTCTTCCATAAGAATGTGTAAACAAAACGTACGACAAATATTACTCAAAAGAAGATAGTGATAATGAAATTGTAATTTTGATGATGTGGCACCTCAAATCTGAGGCAGTCCCAGTTGTTATTGCTGCACTAGGAACCATACCAGAAGATATGAGGCTTACGGTCACAACACATTGAAACACCGGTTCCCGTATGATCACCGAACTTAAGCAACGTCGAGCCTGGTCAATACCTAGATGGGTGACCGCTTGGGAATACCAGGTGCTGGAAGCTTGGATGTGCAGGTGGTGTAATAGATAATGGCTCGAAGTTGTTAATCGGAGAATTGAGTTCCCGTACGATCACCGAAGTTAAGCAACATCGAGTCTCGTCAGTACCTAGATGGGTGACCGCTTGGGAATACCAGGTGCTGGAAACTTGGATATGCAGGTGGTGTAATGGATAATGGATCGAAATTGTTAATCTGACAGCCCAGTTCCAATACCCATTAGGTTCGTTATATTCACTTACGCGCAAAACCCCTTGGAAAAGGTGCGAATCCACCTCTTCTCCCCACCAACTATGGGTTAATTAGTAAAACTTGTATCACTAATTCATTATTATCTCAAAAAAAATCTTAAAATCTAAAAATATTTTTTGGCTCTGAATAACCTGCGAAAGGGCGATAAGCTGTAGAAAACAAATCGATCAATCAATTAGAATGGATGAAAAATTGTTTATCGATTACCTCGTAAACCGCGTATGTATGAAATGCAAAAGATTGCACATCCCACGTCCTCGGAGAACTTTTATTAATATGTCAGGTTATGGGTCTATACTACTGAAATTTATACGCACAATCTCATATATTCACAGAATTTTACACATTTTCCTATGATTTCTTCATTTTTTGATGATTCTTCCATGTATTTGCTGACTTTGATACCTGTGACATAATTCTAGTTTTTCGGATTTTCCATTTAATCTAATTACACATTTTAGCTAGACATTAATTTTATCTGTGCATACACATACATATTTTAATGGATGTGTAAACAAACATACACAATTATTCGACATCATCCAATCAAGAAAAATGATTCTGGGAATGTTAGCTATATATCCAACCAAATGTACCCACAATCATAATCTGTTGACTTGCAGCCACTTATGGTTTCAGTCTTGTCTCATAATTTTAGAAGGAAGAGAAAACAGCTACCACACTTTGATTCCAAACCGAAGGCTGTGTGAAGACATCTTTTTTCTTTAAGATTTTTGGTCGACAGTCCGAGCCAAAGATGTTTTGGTACCCCCCTTGCATATAAAAACAAATTGTTTGGTCATTTAGCCAAAATTTGTGAAGTGGGTCAGGCCAATAATAATTAATCCAAGTAGATTAAAATAAAAGTTTCTTTTCTCTCTGACGACGTTCAATCTTTGCTTTGATTTTTTTTTTTATTGAAAAGGAACACAAATTTCCATGGCCTAAATAAGTCTTCGGAATACCAAGCTGCGTCCTTCATGATATTTCTCGCGACAATCGGAGTTACTTGGCATTGCCCATCTCTTCTTTAAGCAACAGGCAACACGATGTACTGAGTTGAACACAAACTAACACAGTCAGAATTTGAACTCGGCGTACCGCAAAGCGGAAGCGGTGTGCCAACTCCCCACCTCGGTACGCAACAGATATTTAATGAAATGCACCTTTCAACACTGCACTGAAATTCTTGGAGGATCTCAACTCGAAAGTGACAAATTTTAGCTATCTCATCTGCTCCAGCTTAATAAAACTTGATTCTTCTGTTTTCATATACCGATCCGAAAAATACACACACACACACACAGATAATTAAGTTGGGTGCGTGCGCGCTTGTTAGGCAAGAATGAATTTGCATATTTGCACGTGTAGGTGGACAGGAATTTCTCAGAAGGTTATCACGTCTTCGATGTGAAAATGATTGAAATAATTTTAAAATTCCTGCTGCCGCATTAATTAGAACAAAACTGAAAGGAAAGATTTTTATCAGTTTCCAACTTTACTATTATTATTATTATCATTATTATTATTATTATTAACACTCCCAAAGATAATCTTTTAAACCGATCAATCAATCTTCTCTGTTTGATTTTGTTTGACCATTTTACGTTAATTAAAATGAGTTGATATTTCAAGTTGATTTCTTTTTTCGTAACTTGCTGTATAAAGGCTTGGTAAATAACTTTCTAAAACTTATAATTTGGGTGTGCAGGAGGCGTAACAGTTATTGGTGCGAGAAATGGTATCCGTAAATAAGTGTTCGAATTCAGGTCGACGCCGTTGCGTTCAATTAAGAAAGGCGTGAACCCATTTCTTCTACCTTCAGTTATTGGTTAAATAGAGTTCTACAGTAGCACAACCAGTCTAGAAGAAGGATAACTCTGAATATAAATCCACGCCCTGCTAACATGCCTGGGCCAAAGGGGAAGGATGAGATTCATTCCTTTCCTTAAAATACTTGCGGAAGGCCTGGTTACAAATATGGACTGAGAAAATAAAGGTGGGAATTAATAAGAATGGATGCGAACATTTAGTGACCTTTCTCGTGTAAATCTCCTCCTCTTTCTGCTCCTCCTCCTCCTCCTCCTCCTCTGCAGTACACTCAAGCTCTCCATTTCTCGACTCTTCTCACTTCCTTTCGCCTTCTTCCCCTCGTACTGCTCCTCCTAGCGCTTCAATTCCCATCTCTCTTTCATGTTTCCTTTCTCCCCCTCCTCCTCCTCCTCCTCCTCTTCATTCAGTCTGGCCTACACTCAAGCTCTCCACTTCTCATCTCTTTTTCTTGTTTCTCATTCTCGTTTCTTTTCGTTTTCTTTCCCCTCCTCTTTTCTCTTCTTTCGCATATACTCAAGCTCTTCAGTTCTCCTCCCCACTATTTCCTTCTCTCTCTCTCTCTCTCTCTCTCTCTCTCTCTCTCTTGTTTATTTCCACTTTCTCAACTTCTCTGGTATGCACTCATGCTCTCCACCTGTATATTTTTTATTCCTTCCACCTTCTCTCCTCTTCCTCTTCATCTCTCCACTGAAACTCTGTACCTCTCTCTTTCCCGTTTCTTTTCACCTTTTCTCCTCCCCTTTTATCTACATTCGCATAGACTCCAACTCTCCAATTCTCCTCTTTCACTCTCTCTTTCATTCTCTCTCTCTCTTTCACCCCCTCTCTCTCTCTCGTTTCCTTCCCCTTCTCTCCTCTCACTCTTCCTCTCTATTGCCTGTTTTTCCTCTCTATTTTCTTAAATTTATTGCAATATGTCAAGTCTGGAATAAAAGATTAATTCGAATTGTCGATAGAAATTAGGTTTTAATGAATCTTTTATGAAAAGAATTATGTGTATATAGACATATTGGCTTACAAAGAATACATCCAAAAGATTATGCTCCATTTGTTTTTCCAATGCTATTTAAATTCTTACGTTTGGATAACACATCGTAGACAGGTGTGTGCTTAGATGTTAACAACGTAAACACTCCGCTCTCCCACGATATTTTTAACAAAGCTGACCGGAGGGCTCAAGATATTGCACACAGTTTCGGCAAGTTGCTTTAAAAGTTTCCACTTGATATCAAACGATTTCTTCGACACCAATACAGACTTAGTAAAAGGCCTAACAGACATCTCTTTTCAGTATTTGCAATATCGTTCGGACTGTTGTCCTCATCTTTACTGCCATGTTCACGACCTTTCGACCCAGTGGATAAAAACGTTGGTTGAATAACCCAAAACATTACTTGACCTTAAGAGTTGTGCGTACAGTATTTGACCATAGCAGAGAGATCAAAAACTTGGAGGGGTGAGTTACTAAAGAGAATTAACTGAAACTGAGATATCTAAAAAAAAAAGGGGGGGTATAACACGTGGAATTAGAATAATCTACGCACGTGGTCTAAATAAAGCGTTCGATTCTAAATTCCAACTTATATCACCAGAAGAAGGCCAGAGCGTACAACGGCTGAAAAGTTATGAATATAAAAAATAAAGATGAGGACAACAATCCCAACGATATAAATAGTGTAAGTAGTTACTGTTGTGACCAAGTAAATATATTAACAGTAAGTACAGCAGAAATGTATTACACGACTAGTAAATGTGTGTCAGTTGACCCAGCGTTCAATCTATTAGACTGTTATATTTAACAGACGCCCCACGAGGGATGTATGTCGCACAAGGCCAAGTTTACCGTGGGTTCTCCGAGCCTGTAGACTCTGCCAAAAATATTCCCGTAGAACCCTCTTAAATGGGTTCGGGTTTGTCTACCTCCCCGGCCGAAACTTAGCCCTTCGGCACTGCCACATCCAGGTTCCTCTCTGCTCAATGCAGAGAGTTCGACAGTTGAACAATCTGGTCGACTATTAATATTTAACAGCCCCCCCCACACACACACACATACACACACACGAGGGATGTATGTGGCACAAGGCCGAGTTTACGGTGGGTTCTCCGAGCCCGTAGACTCGGCCAAAAAGATTCCCTTAGAACCCATATAAACAGGTTCAGGGCCTGTCTACCTCCCCAGACGAAACTTTGCTCTTTGGCAAAGTCTCATCCGGGTTTCTCTCTGCTCAAGGCTGAGAGTTCGACAGAAATGAACAGTTTGGTCGGCTTTTCCCCCAAAGCCTTCTCACCTTCTAATCTTATAGTAGGCAGAACATAGACTCTTTAGAGGGAGGACACCACAACAGTTACAATACCTTTTCTCAGAAATATAGGCATCTCTTTTCAGTTTCTATTTAAGAATTAAATAATAGGATGTGCGGATGATGTACTGGTTATGAGTTCGAAACAAGAAATCGATGAGACGTGTTCACTTCCATTCATTTTTACGTAGGATCTGCATCAGATTGCAAGCATGCTATTTTATCAACATGAGCATCAGTATTTTCCTATTTGTCCAGTAGGGTTCACAGATTTTCTTTCCCCAATGCAGCTCTGTTTCAGTGTCTTTAGTTTTGATTTTTATATGCAACCACTTTTTAAAAAAAAAAAAACTATGCACCTGATTGGTCCGTTCTCTCTTTTATGCCGCCCCCGATTTTAGTTCTGTTCTATGATGGCGTGCTATGATATCTATGACCCCAAAATAATGATGCCTACACCGACAAATATCTATTATTTGGAATCTCAGCGTCGAAAACATATATAAGGCTAACCATTCGTTTCCAAGAATGGATAGTGGCTCGGATTGAGGAGTCCGAGAGCCGAGTTCGAATTCCAGTCGAATCCATTTCATTCACTGATAATACCCCAGGGAAAGGTATGAATCTTCTTCTCCCTCCAGCTATGGGTGAATAGCAGGACAGACTGGGTTCAATAGCCTTGGATGGTAACTGGTCTAGGAGAAGGACAACTCTGAATTCAAAACTTGCAGAGGGTCGTTTGGGGACCTTGTGACAACAACAGTAAATGATTCTTCTCACCCAGCTATGAGTAAATTGCAGGACACACTGTGTTCTATAGCCTTGGATGGCAACTGGTCCACTGCAGAAAGAAATGGCAACCTACTGCGGGAAAAAATTTGCCTCGTCAGTCATGTACGAAACATACACGATCGACTAAGCAGGTATCGCGCATGGCACATAACTGACTGACTAGGGTGTCTAGCTCTTTCCTGTTGCAGACACCTGCACAGGCAGATTTGTGTTGTTTCAAAACCCACCGTTCCTAAAATGTGATTTATACCTCGATCTACTGCCAGTTATGATTAACGAATGTCCCCTCGGAGAGCCACTTTACCTTGAGGGACTATTGGGCCTTAAACTCACATTTGACCTGAAGTGGAACTCATACATTCTAGCCACTACTAAAGATCCTGGTAAAATGGTCGGCTCCCTATACCGTTCCCGTAATTACCTGGCTACACGCGCTATCCTCTATATTTACAAAAGCCGGACCAGGCCCAAAATGGACTAATGTTCTCATATTTGGGCAGGAGCTTCCCAGACCGGACTCTCCAGGCCCAATAGAGTTCTAAAGCGTCTCCGTGTCCTTGTGTCTGACGAATTATTTTCCATTTTCCAGCTTCTCTCTCTCACAGGCGGGATATGGCAAACTCTATAGCTACTTTCCCTGCCGTCCTGGGTATGACAGTAAACTACATCCGCGTCCTGGGTAAGAGGATAAACTACGTCCAGCAGCAAGGCCTCTGATCAGGAGGTTTTGAGGAGCGTGGAATCACCTCTTAATTGCTGGTGTTCCCAGGTCCACCCTGATCCGGGGTGGTAGTACCTGTTAGGGTCCCAGCTATGGGCAAATAGTTAACTTCCACAACCTGACTCAAAACGCTATGAAAGTGTAAAAATAGATTTTAATACCAGAAATACTTTTTTTAAAAAAAATAGTATCAACAATAAATATTTGAAAAAAGAAAATATTACCAGAAATAAAAATCTTGCCGGCATTAAATAACCCATTAAGGTTAATATGCCACAAAACAAAATAAACCAAACTATACATTTTTACCAGCTATACATTTTTAAAAAAAAAAAAGGAAATTTTGTTGGCATTAAATAACCCATTGAGGTGTTGATATGCCGTAAAACAAAACAAACCAAACAAACGAAGCTACTTTCACGGAAAGTGCTCGAACGAATTACATTCGATGGTTCAGTCAGTTTTAACGTTTGATCAAGGACCCGTCATACCACTCACATTGTAGCAAACCACCCATATTCCCTCTGTATTCCCTTCTTATTCATACAAACTGCCCCTGCCTCTGCCTCCTAATGTAACCTCCTACCTCGAGTGTCCCCCGGGACTTGTACAGAGTGAGCATTACTGTAAATAAATACTTCAACTATGCTCTGTTACAGTTGTTTGGCGAGATCGAATAATCTGGCATCATCAATAGTTAAATTCTCCTTCAAAATGGCCTGTGACAATCATCGACAGCTTTCTAACAGTTCCGTTACAAGGTTTATATCAACTCGTGATATGGTTTTCAGACACTTTCCAACGAAGCCTCACATTGGGATCGTCTCCCCAGGTTTTGATATTATCAAGAAGTCACCTCCCTAACAAATCGACCCCGGTGAGATTCGAACTCAGATCTCATTGTTTGAATGTTAACGTTCTGGCCATGCGCGTGTATTTGCATCTATTCATCGCTTTTTTTTTCTGCAATAAAGCAAGTAGACATAAAATAGCAAAGGAATCCACCACTGACATATCCATGATGCCAACATTTTTCTCCTTGAATTGTAGTATATTACCAGTTTTATCAAGATTATTTGTGTTTTGTTTTTGTTTTTCGGATTTTGTAAACTTTCCTCTTCACATTATATATGAAATAATTACAATGTATTTTTCTTCATCGTTTACCTAAAGAAGTAACTTTAGGGAATAAAAAGCATTATTTTGTCATTGTATTACGCATTATTAGTCTTGATATATAAATTTGAATTTCATCTATAATCTCAGCATCGAAAACATATATAAGGCTAACCACTCGTTTCCAAGAATGGATAGCGGCTCGGATTAAAGAATCCGAGAGCCGAGTTCGAATTCCAGTCGAATCCATTATATTCACTTACGTGCTAATACCCCTGGGAAAGGTATGAATCTTCTTCTTTTCCTCCGGGCTATGGGCAAATAGCAGGACATGGCAACCTACTGCGGGAAAAAATCTGCCTCGTCAGTCATGTATCTTTCAATACATGATCACCTAAGCGGGTATCACGCATAGCACTTAACTGACTGACTAGGGTGTCTAGCTCTTTCCTGTTGCAGGCACCTGCACAGGCAGATTTGTGTTGTTTCAAAACCCACCGTTCCTAAAATGTAATTGATACCCCGAACTACTGCCAGTCACGATTAATGAATGTCCTCTCGGAGAGCCACTGTACCTTGAGAGACTATTGAGCCTTAAACTCACATCTGTATATAAAAAAAAATCAATACAGCTTACATTGTTCCTACTAAAGTGCTCACTTTCTGGAATAGAGCCACTATAAGGCAAAATACAAACTGCTTTAGTCGTAAAATAAAGTTTTATATTACAAATATTTATTATACACGGACGTGCCAAAAGTCAAGAACGGCCTGCAGGAACGAATTAAGTACGTTAGCCGACGTTCCACTGTATATGGAAAATCGGAAATGACGCAATAGCAAATGTATTAATATCAAATTATTTATATGAAAAGAATATATGCTGTATATACATACAGATTATGTATCAGTAGTTTCCAATAAGAATAAATTCCTTTTGTATATTAAATTTTCTTAACATGAAAACAAATATTAGTGTGCACAAAAATATATTTTAGCTATATTGAAAAGTTTATTTCTTGTATACATCTAAA